GCTTTCTTGGTCTTCGGAGCTATCTACTTGATAGAGGCCCTTTATTAGACCGTGTATTGTGCTCTTGCTTCATGTGTTGGGAAATTCTCATGTAACATATACACTTCGAGTCCATGAGCGCAACATGATGTTGGGCGTTCGACATTTACTACGTTTTAATGAAGAAGCATCGTCCATGAACTAATGAGATTGATGTTTGATTTCTATTGCATTCCAAACGATTCATGCATTTTTATACTTCCTATATACGTCTGTTATATACTTCATTCTTAATTTTGAATCAAACGTCGTCCTCCCAGAAAGCACCAACATTATCCAGACAGTCCTAATACACATACCGAAACCATCGATTCTCTCTATCGGTCAGCCCAGCCCACTTCGGCTCATCAATAACCTCTTCCTCGCCTTCACCCGCAGCCTTCACACGTCTCCGGTTCTCCCATACATAATACAAAAACAACACAAACGCCAGGGTCCCCGCCGCGGCCTGGGTCGCCAACACGGCGATCTTCGCCGGGCGATACTCTGGCGCATCCCTCGCTTGGAACGTCTGCGGACCGATAATATTACCCACGGAGAACGACCCAGCTACGAGGGCACTGGAGAACGCGCGCTTCGTGTGTCCGGCGCAGTTCGCCATCGTCCACTGGTAGAGAATGGGCAGCGTAGCAACAATCGCATTGACCAGGTAAATGCCAATCAAGACCCCGGCCTTGTTATGCTTCGGCAAGAACGACATCAGCGCCCCACCGATGATCCCGGGAATCGTACAGAAGATGAACCACGCCCAGCGGTGGGAGACTCTGCGGATCCCGATCCCGACGGCTAACGTAAAGAAGATGCTGACGATGCCGGAGGGCGTGTTCAGCAGCGCCGAGTGCGGAGGCGTAAACCCGAAGCCGTTGATTAGGGTTGCCGAGTATGTCGTGACCACCCCGGAGGATACGGACGTCTGTCGTATATCTTCTTGTTAGCACTCCCTTCATTTTTTTTTCCCTGGTGGGCAAGGAATAGCAGAGTGACTTACACAAATGGTCGTCAATGTTAACAACCACAACTGTACATCCCCAACCGCCTCCCAGATTTGCCTCATATCGACCCGACTACTCCACACCCCCGTCTGATTCACACTGACATGTCGCAACAATGCAACCTTCTCGGTCTCGCTCAACCACCGCGCCTTCATCGGCGTATCGGGAATGAAAAGCATCGTCAGTACCCCGACCAACATCGTCACCAGTCCCAACACCAGAAACATAATCCGCCACCCGGCAAACGTGTGATGCACCTGCTGAAACGCAAACGAGATGATCCCCCCGATGATCTGCGCCACGCCTAGCCCGAGGTACCAGAAGGTGAATCGCGGGGCCTGTTCACTGCGCGTGTAGAATTGGCTGCTGAGAAGCATCAGCGAGGGTCCGATGGTGGCCTCGAAGATACCCAGGAAGATTCGCGAAACGAGCAAGCTCCGATAATCATGGGCGCCAGCCGAGGCTGCTGCTGCGACACCCCAAAGGGTAACATTTAGACCGAGCCATTTCGCAGCGGGAGTCTTTTGAAGGAGATACACTTTTCCCAGTCCAGATCAGTCATCGCATTCAATTCCTTCCAATGAATCAATTCAAACGACCATATCCCCTCTTCCAGGACAACAGTAGAAGAAGAGGGGTAAGTAAAAGGACAGTAGATCGATAGATAGACATACCATTAGGAACTTCCGCAATCAAATACGCAATAAAGAACCAAGTCGCCGTATTTGAGAAATCATTCCCTACTAGCCCGAGATCTTTCTTTATCCCCATAACCGCGGCATACTACTCTTTGAAAGAAAAACCGCATTTAGTCCGTCTCTCTCTGATCCGACTGCTGATTGCGATTTGCTAGGGTTTAAAACAAGGGATAAAAAACATACGTTCAGCATGACTTTATCCAAAAATTGCAGCACATAGCAACAGAACATGAACGGGATAATGCGGTAATCGATCTTGCGACGCAATGCGCGTATGTCTACATCCTGGATGTCGACCACGCCCGAATGCCCCTCCAGGTACTCGACTGCATCATCGACTCGGTTCGCGGGGATGGTCTGCGCCACTACGGCGTCGGAATGTTTCTTTTCTTCTTCCCCCATGGGGATTAAAACCCAAGTGAAAAGGAACAAGAAAAAGAAAAAGAAAAGAAAAGGATGTTCAAAGAACACGCAACAAGTGGGCAGCAAACAGAAAAACTGCTCAAAAGAAGGGGAGAAGAAATGCCGCAGCGCAGGCAAGGACACGAAAAGAAGAAAAAAAAATGCTACCAGTGTCAGCGCAAGAAAACCTCCGAGTCAGTCCTGCCAGTCAGAACTCAACCCTGGCAAAACTCTATTGGGCGAGGGAAGGAGAAGTATAATTATGATTTAATTGAAGTAACTCCGCCAAAGCCAATGGTTTGCGCGACACCAGGCCATCGATGCTTTGGGTCCTTGCTGCATGCATTTGCCCTAAATGGACCACCGCTTTAGTGTATGTGTGTGTGTATTGGGTGAGACTTGCGGTGGGAAGTGGGTTTTGCGGAACAAAGCTAGACAGACTACGGAAATCGTAAGGTTTAGTTTTTAATTTGTGGTTAAATCCTGGAGGATTAGGTGGAATTGTAATTTGATTATAGTCTGTTTCGCGATCACAACGTGCACTCCTTGCGGACGACACCTACACGAGGGTTACGCCATGCGAGCTCGGTGGAATGTCTCATCCTTGTCTTGGAATGATGTCTAGCCTTTTCCAGAACAAGCAAACAAGATTGACGTCCAGGTGGTGGAGGACGAGGGTGCAAGGGGGGCGTATGCATTGGGTGTCATGATGCAGAGGTCGCATATTAGGCAGTCGTGCGTTAAAATAGCTGTTCCAAAGCTCTGCGCCTTTCTTGATGCCTTGTTTGCGCTTCTTTTCGTCGATATACCTACCTATGCTGGTCTAAACGATGGGCTGGGTGCACCATGCCGCTCCAGAGGTCGAGGCTCAGTCCCAGTATCGAGAGATTCTGGGGGTCTGTCTTAGCCTGACTATCTTGATGGTCATTACTGTCTGTCTGCGGCTGGGCCTTCGGGCGCATGCTCGTCGACTGGGCACTGCGGACTATGTGATGGTGATGAGTATGGTGAGTCGCATTCTTCATAGAAAGATCAGATGATTTGGTGGAGGCCATCCCATTAACCTGATCCAGCTCTTCAGCGTCATCTACAGCGCTCTATGTATCTCTCGTAAGTAATTGCTACCAATGTAACAGGCGAGCGCTCATAGCCACAGAAAGCAAATACGGGCTGGGACTGCCACTCAACCTGCGCCCAAAAGAAAACCTACCAACCTATAAAAAGGTACAGTGCTTGACACTCACTCTCTTGCATCGATCTCTATGAACTCCTCCAACTAATCATATATAGCTCAACTATGCCGGTCGACCCTTCTACCAAATCGGCATCGCCGGCTTCAAAGCCTCGCTCTGCCTCAGCTATCTACGCCTCCTCAGCAAAACATCACTATCCTTCTACCGAGTCCTCATCTGGACAGTCCTCACCATCTCCACACTAGGGCACATCGCCGGCGCACTGGCCCTAATCTTCAACTGTAATCCTGTATGTTCCTCATTTCCTAACCCAGAAAAAAGTCACCACTGATACAAGAATAACAGGTCCAACTCGCCTGGCGAACAGATATAACAGGCACTTGTCTCCCCGTCGGAGGCACATTCTACGGTCTAGCCATCTTCACCATCATCTGCGACCTTATGATCATCTTCTTACCCATCCCGCTCTTGCTCCGGCTGAAGATCAAACCCGCCCAGAAAGCGGGCGTCGTGTGTCTATTCCTCCTAGGGCTATTCACGACCATCTGTTCGATCATGCGGTTAACCCAAATCCACCGTGTAGCTTACGGGGACGGCAATTCCACTGCGTTGGTGCTTTGGGGCACGATCGAGTTTAATGTCGGTGTAAGTACTCCCCCAATTTATCCATTTAACTCCCTCCCTACAAGGTCCCTACAAAGGCACGACCTAAAAAGAAAAGAATGAAAAACAAAGGGTTCATCCATGATCTAAAGCTAACATGTTTCTAGAATATCATCTCCTGCATTCCCTACTTGGCCCCGCTGTTAAAGGGGCTGGTGCGGGATTTCCGATCGAATAGTAACGCGTACGAGAGTCGGGGTCATTATGTTTTGGAATCGTGGAAGGATCCGCGATCTCAATTGCGATCGACTGCATCGGCGCCGGCGCATCCGAGACGAACACCTAGCGAGGAGTTAATCATGGATAGTTTGGGGCCTGGCCATGGGGGGATCGAGATGACGGTGGAGGTGCGAGTGTCATTAGAGCGCAAAATATCTAAGGGGATGGTTTAGTTAGTCTTGTATAATGACTTTAATTACTATGTTCATTCATTAGACTAGCGTAGTATGAGTCTTATTATTTGCTCTGTACTTACTACTGGATAGAGGGAGGACAGGAAAGACAGCCAGAGTAAGCACTAATACTGCGTCGAAGCAAGGGGGACATGTTTGAGGTTGGTTAAGATTCCGAAGGTATCCGTCAATACGACCTCGTCCGACGGAGGAGACTCCGGTGTAAGTTTCACTAAGCAGGGGTTGGGAGAGCCGACGTGATCCTCGAGGAATGAGATTATGAGACAGATAAATTAGGGCTCGCGCTACGGGTGGAAGTCAACGCCAGTGGATCTCCCGGGTTTATCCCGAGCGGGTTAAGATGAGCCCAAGCATCTCGGCGTGCCGTCCGTCTCGTGAATGTTCTTTGCTTAAGTTTTACATGCTTAGCCGTGTCTCAATCGAGTGGGGACGCTGTCAATGTAATCTTCGGCCGCAGCAAATAGGCACAGAGACGGTAAATGCACCGGCTCAACCTTAATAACCCATCGTTATAGCACGCAGCCAATATACTATAACCGGGATTCTCTTCCTTCGGGCCAGACTACCCAGCTCCACCTTCATGTCCATATCGCACCATCCAACGAGTCTAGATTATCTCCCAACCCCAACAGATTGAGATACCCCCCTTCCCCCCTCTCTCTTTCGCCCAGGAACAGACAAGGATCAGCGGGCTATCCATCCCACTTTCCCTTACTTCGATAGATAGATCGATAGAGACCCGAGCGTCAACCATGGCCGACGAACAACTCCCCGTGCTCATCGTCGGCGCCGGCATCAGCGGCCTGATCCTAGCCCAATATCTCAAAACTCATGGCGTCCCGTTCCAGGTCTTCGAACGCGACTCGGCCATCGACGCACGGAGCGGTGGATGGGGCCTCACTCTGCACTGGGCATTGCCCGCATTGCGGCAGTTGCTTCCGGAGGACATCGTCGCACAACTGCCAGAGACGTACGTTAACAAGGAGGCGGCTGCGCGCGGTGATACAGGTCGCTACCAGTTCTTCGATCTGAAGTCTGGGGAGGCGCTTTATAATGTCCCCGCGGCGGAGCGGATTCGGGTTAGTCGGGTGCGAATGCGTCAGTTGTTGACGAGTGGGATTCAAGTGCAGGTGAGGTTCATGAATCCATGGATAGAGAGCCATGATAAACAACACTGTCATGAGAAACCGAAATTTAATATTCGAAATAAATGATAGTGGAATAAATCCCTCAAAGATATCGAATCAACCCCGGATTCCGTAACAGCCCATTTCGAAGACGGTTCATCATGTACAGGCCGTATCCTCCTCAGCTGCGACGGATCACGGTCCCTCTCCCGACAAATCCTCTATCCAGACAACCACGAAATGCAACCGCTACCCGTCCAACTCCTCGGCGCAACAGCACTATACACGCCTGAGGAAATGAAAGGCGCCCAGAAAATCGACCCTTTCATCTTCCAAGGCGCACATCCAGATACCAACGTGTATCTCTTCTTCAGCTGTACGTACATCACCATCATGATTATCCAGAGCATAAAACGCAGATACTGATGAGATATAGTCCTTGACACCCCCAACAACTTCTCCGACAGCACAGACAAATACCACTGCCAGCTTATCGTCTCCTGGGCGGAATCGAAGGGTATCGAATTCCCCGAGTCGAATGCGGAGCGCATTGCCCTAATGAAATCTCTAACGGCGAACTGGGCCGATCCGTTCCGGTCTCTTATTCACCAGGTACCGGATGAGACGGAGGTGGTTTCGATCCGTGTCGCGGATTGGATTTTCAGTCCCCGGCGGCAAAGAGGTCATCCTCGTGTGGTTCTTGTGGGTGATTCGGCGCATACTATGACCATGTGTTTGTCCTCCTTTTCTTCCTAGTTCTTGCTAAATGTGATGTTCTTCTTGGGAAGGGGCTGTGTACTAACTCGAGGAATGTAGTCAGAGGTGAAGGTGCCAATAACGCCATCGTGGATGTCCAGGATCTGGTTAAGAGGATTGATTTTACGTCGAGGGAGTATGATGCCATTCCCAGTCTAATTCTGTTCATGGATGAAATGGTGTGCTAACAAAGAGGTGTAGCTCGTTCACACTCGACGCCCTTCGTTCTTCCGTCGCCGCATATGAACAGGATATCTTTACCCGTGCGGAAACCTCTGTTCTAAATTCGAGACAGGCATGTCTTGATGCGCATGATTTTGAGAAGATTTTGAATGGAAGCCCCCTGGTTTCCAAGAGGGTGCTTAAGGAGGATGAATAAGACCCCCTGTCTTTAGACTTGGATCAGAGATCGAGTACTTGGAGGTATAGCGTATGAAGAACAAGTGAGATGAGATTATGATAGACAAGACTTTGCTGGAATACAAGCAAATAATACGTTGTAATTGAACCTTCCATGAGGTAAAAGTGAATGGTATGTAAAAGCAACGTCTGTACAAATCTTATGTCCATAGTCAATGCAATGTCTTGCTCGCAAAGAACCACCCAAGGTTTGTAACACGCATGATGCCGTTACAGATACGGTTCAGATTACAATCATCCTTCAGTCGAGACAGAGTCACATTATTGGATCATATCTCTGGTCATTCATCTGCTGTGCCATGGCTACTACAACCAGAAAGTTCCGGGATGACATCGAATGCAATAAATTACCTGAGCCTTTGACCAATCGTTCAGTATTCCACTCCAGCAAGAAATCTCAATGAAAAAAGGCATGTGCTGTCAAGTTGGAAAAGTTCAAGAAATCATCGCAGATGTTTCCATAAGGTCAGCAACCGGTGGCGCGAAATAGCATGACCCGAAATGCAGTGCTTGGCAGGGTCAAGTTTAGGGTCATAGTGTTAACATTAGCATTAACATTAGGCTCAGCATTAGGGTTAACATTAGGGTCACAGAGCTAAGGCATCAAGGCAGCAATAAGGCATAATTCAGGCAATAATAAAGCCAAATTAGGCATCCGAAGCGGATTACATAAGAATACCCTAAACCCAAACGCGCCACTTCGTCTCCTTCCCTGAAGTCTTTGTTTTCTTGTCTTTTTCCATCCACAGCAAGCTCATCATCCGCAGCCATCGATTCGCATCAACTTGGGCATCATTTTCATCATAATACGACCTGTTTGGGCTCAATATCATTCTGTATACTTGCGGTGAGTGAGTTGGGGTGCAGTCCGCTCCGCTGACCGCCTTTGGATATGGCTCGCATTGCTACGCGTGTTGCTGGGCAGCAGGATATCCATGCTTTGAAAGGGAGTCCACCGAGGAGACGGTGGACGAGGAGCCAGAGTCGGGAGCTTGAGGCCCATCCGATAGAAGATATCCCAGCTCTGAAGTCTTCTCTCAAGAGTAGCAAGCTGTGGAAGGGTAAAGGGAAAATGAGCGGAAATGGTTAGTACTGCTTGTTTTGTTGACACAGAAAACGGAAATATATTGTCAAGTCCTCTTCTGCCATATGTTTCTCCTGTTGCATTCTGATTCGTTGTGTATCCGTGTGTTTGTTATTCTCTGTTTTGCTGTCACTAGGGGGATGTCGGAAGTACACTTCTTTACGCTCCCACTGAATGGGAACTTACATCTCAATCGATAGACTTGAGCGTCGTGACAGAAGAATCACCAGTTAAGGCATCCCGGAAAACGGGATTCCGTGCTGGCCAGGTCATCCCTGAATCGCCTGAGGATGCGTACAACCACACTATGTCGGGCTCCACCATTATCGTACCTGACGCAGAGACTGATCAGGAGGATGATGAGGATGAGGATGAGGATGAGGATCCCCAGAATGATCTGGAGCCCGAGGTGATGCTCGAATCGCTTCCAGGCTTAGAGCGATCTGCAAAGGAGGTTCTTGAATTTCTGGTCCCTAGTTCCGCGGATCTGAAAAGCATCGTTAACATGGCCAAGCGGCTCTCCGATCCCAGGAACACTCAAAGCAAACGTCTGGCCGTTCATAAGAATGCCTTGAAGAACCAGCCGGGGTGGTTCGAGGGCAGGACGTATATCGACGTCACGCAAGCTAGCCAGTCCCTATCGTCCTATTTGACCAAGGATGGGCACGAGCTGAACTGGAGCGCGGAACCTATCCTCCATCGCGCCAACTGTGCCCATTTCGCACTTGAGGTGCTCCTGGCTAGTGGCAATTCAACAGGCTTCAAAAAGGCGATCAGGGACGTCGAAGGTCGGTTTCCATTGCCTTTCATGCGTGATCTGGTCGACGGTCGACGGAATACCGCCGGTGAAAGCGCGCTTGTGAAGGACACCTTCCAGCTCGCCTTAGAGATCCGCACTCAGTCCTTGATCATGCAGTTAGAGTATCATCAGCATGAACACAGCTTCGATCCGAACTTCATCCTGGAAGACGGATTCTTCTTAGATGTGCCTGTTCACGAACCGTTTGATAGCCGCAATGCTCCAATGCGTGGATTCAACTTGCCAAGGCTTAATGTTGATGGGTCTCTTCCTGACGAGTTCAGAGAGACAGCATACGATCGCTTCGAAGATTTGCTCGTCATTTTGCCAGATGAAGATGGCAGCTTTGATATCGACGAGCTGAAAACCACCTACCCCTGGCGGAGCTTTCTTCTGCAAGCAGCTCGATGGATTCGCAAGCGGTGTGAGGAAATCGACCAAGACTTAAGCCGCCAGCAGAGTGCAGAATCTGCACGCAAGCAAGTTTTCGCGGAAATTGATGCAAAGGAGCGTCGTAGTAGCAGCATAGCAGGTCGCTCTAGCTTAGCTCCCCGACATACAGAAGAAAGGAGTGAACGGGGCACGATTGCTTCTCCGGACAACAGAAGAGTTTCAGCGATCCCGCCCGAAACCCCTAAAGACACGCCGAGGGGGGTTGAATCCAAGGAACGGAGAAAATCTGGCAAACCGTGAGTTTAGACGTTTTGTATCAGCTCAGCAGCTGGCTAACCTGGTTAGGGCCTTTTTGAACAAATCGTCTCTTGAACGCATAGTGCAAAGATCGAAACATGCCCATGTGTCCATCAAGGATCCCGAGGTGCGTAGACAATCGGACGGTGCTGCGAGATCAGCTCCAGGAAACATCCGTAAGGAAACCGAATCGCAGCTTCGGCGTCAGACCCTACCGGCGTCCCGGCTATCGCCACCAGCACCATTGGAAGAAGCAACCGAAGAACACGTCGAAGGGCCTGTTGAAGAACATGTCGAGGAGCCTGCCGAAGAACACATCGAAGAGCCTGCCGAAGAACACATCGAAGAGCCTACCGAAGAACTCATCGAAGAGCCTACCGAAGAACACATCGAAGAGCCAACCGAAGAACACACTGAAGAGCCTACCGAAGAAATCATCGAAGAACCTACCGAGGAGCCTACCGAAGAGCATGTCGAAGTATCAGCTTTCCGTGAATCTTCGCCGCTCCCTCAGCATGACGAACAGGACTTCAACGTAGACAGCGAGTCGGAACTTTTTGTTGACGAACGCACGCAATTAGAGAAGTCACATAGTCCCATCATGAGGAGGTCACGCGAGCCTCGCTTCGCAACTCTCAGCCCGGTCAGGACCAGACTCTTCGCGACAGAGGTACGCCTCGAGCCAACCTCAAAGCAGACCCGCAAGGCCTTTCGTTCAATGCCCTCCAGTCAAGAGCTGTGGAAAGCAACCAGGCCACGCCGCGATACAACCCCTCCACGGACGAGCAACACCTCGCGCCCATTGCCCTCCATTCAAGAGCTGTGGAGAGCAGCCAACCGTGACGGGTCATCACAACCTTCCAAAAAGCCCGAACAGGCGTCCCGGTTCATTGACCGTCAAGCAAACGCGCACCGCATTTCCCCAATCAGCCAAGGGGCCGACCCACAAAGCGCCGAACGACGCCACGTCGGTCTGCAGTCCAAGAAACGAAGGCGCCATGATTCAGAGGAACAGTATGAAGAGAGCGACGACGATTTCAGCAACTACAACCGCCCCGTCGACACCGCCCGCAAGCGTGCAGAAAAGCCCGCACGGCCTCAGAACAAACGCCAGAGAATCGGAGAACACGATGAATCTGCAGCCCAGCTGCTGAACGGTCTAGAAGAGACCACGCGCAGAACCTCTATTCCTGAATCTCCGGAGGCAGCGCGTAGGAGTACGAATCCCATTGCTGAATCACCCGAGGCTGCGCCCAGGAGTACCAAGCCCGTCCCTGTGTCTTCTAGCGCGAGACACACAGTCATATCAACTAAGGCGCCAGTGCGATGGACGCCGGCCGAAGACAAGCGACTGATTCGGTTAATCGAAGAGGTCGGTCTCGGAGGACCCAAGGGCAGCGGCTGGTGCAAGATCGCCAGTCAAAACGAGGCGCAGCCAGTTCGGGAAGGTGAGAGTCGCATCGAAGGGCGAAACCAAGTCCAGCTCAAGGACAGAGCGAGAAACATCAAAACCAGATACCTTAAGTATGTTTTTTTTTCTTATCGTATCAGTTACCCTGAGGATGAAACTAATAGCAAACAGAGACCGAAAACCTCTTCCCTCGAACTTCGACCACGTGACCATGAAAGAGAAAGACCGGGCCATGCTCGCGGCGAAAGGCATCAACGTGGCTTGATAGCTGAGGATAACGCTTTATCTGCTCGTCTTTTCACTTCCACTTAGTGCCGTACAGCCGTACCTCTTTGTACTTAGTCTTGTAATATCCCTCTCCAGAATGATACCCCTCATGCGAGTCGTGCGTTATTCAAGTATCGTGGGTTCAACGTTGGAGCTACTTTGTGTTTACTGGTTTCGTTGCATTGTCATAGTCCTTCTAATCAAATGTTTATTTATTCTATGGTAGATCGTTCAACAATATATTATGATTAAGCGAGCGGATCGGGTATCCAACGTGCACAAGAATCCAGCACAAAATACCGCAGTGAAAGCCATGAGTCGACCAGCGAACTCACCAGAAAAGACAGTAAGTAAGTAGACCAAGATACACACAATCAAGCAAGCCATATAAACAAAACACCTACAATACTATTCACAATCCCAAGTAGCACACACCCCTAACACAACCCCCCAATACCCACCAAACCAACAACAACCCCAACAACCAGCCCCCTTACAGCAGAAGAAGAAGAAGAAGAGATCAAAGAAGAAGCACCACCACTAACCACACTCGCTGACGGCGTAGCCCCACCACTCACAGACGCCGACGCCGAAGCCGAAGCCGACGCAGAGGCCTTCGCACTCCCCGTAGGCACCGCGGTAGCCAAAGTGGACGAAGGGCTAGTAACAACATCCGGCTGATTCGGGTACGCAGTCCCCGAAGGAGCAGTCAGGATACTCTTGGGCGTATCAGTGCCGGTAGGAGTAGAGGGGCCGTTACTGGCTGTCTTCACCATGGTTGGGTTCACGCTTAGACTGGCGAGCGGGTCGGAGTCGCCTTCGTCGACGTCGGGGGCGGTTAGGATGCCATTGGCTTCTGTTTCTCTTTCGGTGTCTTTGTCTGTTTCGGTGTTTGTGGTTGCGAATATGGACCGGCGCTGAGACTTGGTGGTGGAGCCGATGGTGTAGGTTTTTTGGCCGCCGCCTGGGTTTTTTGTTAGTTCTTTTGTTTGATATATATATACATATACCTCTCTCTCTCTCTCTCTCTCTCTCTCTCTCTCTCTGTGTGTGTGTGTGTGTGTGTGTGTGTGGTGGGGTATAGATAGACAGCACTTACAGTATTCAACCGGATACCCAGGACATCTCGTCTTACATTCCGTATTCTCCACCTTAGCAGTGAGCGGAGGAAGAGTATCTCCACAGAAACATTTCCGGTCTTGCACAGCATAAACAGGCTTGTTCTCTTCGTTGCAGAATTGCTGACAGAGCGCCACGGATTGGTATTCGGTCGAGTGCGAGGGAGTCAGATTGCCCAGGTCATTGTAGCAGGCTGTGTTCAAGGCAATAGCTGGCGCTGAAAGAGATAGGAGGGTGACGATGGATAGGTTGATCATTGTCCTTGTCATTTTGGCTTTTATTTTTCTCCTCGTTTGTCTTGATGTTGTGTTGATGTTGATTGACTGAATGTCTGTTTATATAGGTCTTTTTTGGGTGATTCGGCACCGGGCAGATTTAGTTTATTTTATTTATAAACTGGGAAAAAAAGAGTGAATAATATTCGAAGATGAAACAAACAAAGAATGGAAAGGTTAAAGATAGTTTAAATTTTCTTCAGATCAAAGAGAGAAGGAACAGCAACAAAAAAGACACACAGGTTAACGGGGCACAATCCCAAATATAAAAATAATCCAATCCCTTCATCCACCACCCTTGAAAGGAAGAAGAGAGTTAGAAAAAAAAAAAAAATCCAACCCCCTGTGAAAATCCGATAATCCAACCCAAAACCCAGAAATGAAACGGCAACAGAATGCCGATCGGGAAGATCGCAAGAAGAAACGACTCGTTCAGAGTGTACTAAACTCAAGTATTTCCCTTTTTTTCTCCCCTTCGACGGAGTGGACTGAGTGAACTCCAGTTCGCTGGTCGATCGACAGACTGAAACCCCCGCTGGGCAGGGCGTTTCAGCCAATCCCTTACTTCCGTTTCATGGGTCGTTCATGTCGCTTAAGTTGTGATCGGGCAATTTAGCGTAGGGCCAACGTAGTTTTTTTTTTCCAGTAATCCACTCCCTTGGGCACTGAGAGACTGGGAGTCAACGCGGTGATGTCACGGATCGACATAACTATTGCTTTCTGAGACTGACCACGCGAGACACTATCGATTATTATGTTTTTTCCCGGGGGAAGAGAGACGCGGTGCCGTCATTGGTGTGGATCCAGTCTCTCATCTGGGGAGTCTTCACTCCGTATTGGCGCCAGTAAAATCCCGCAGAGCTCGGAACTGCTCCATCTGTCAGTGTACTGTGGATAAAACAGTACAGGAAGGGAAAGAAATGCGAATGTGTGGTAGCGAGAGTGTCATGTTTGGAGAAGTTCAGAAGTTGTTTCGAAGATCGCAAGAATGGTTCGGGTTGCATTATGGAATTGACTGCCGACGGGGATCGGCACCTGATCACAGGAACCCTTGTTCTGTCCTACTCTGCAGTACAAATACATAGTAATCCAAATCTTGATCGGACTTCAGATCTCACAGGAGTAAAAAACACAAATACCCTAAAGTCCGAAAACCATAAATATCCTGTCTCATCTGTAAAAGGCAGTAGGAGGATCAGACACGTCGAGTGACTCCACCCGCGCCACCAAGACATTTATAGGGTCTGGCAACCACCAATTCCAAATCTCCCTTCTCGAAGAATAAAGGGATGTCATCGCAGGCCACGAGTTCATCCCTTCCTTCCTGTCCAGATATTATTATCCCACCGGACACTTCATGCTTCTAGAATGGCGGACAATGCAGGTACCCTTCTCTTTACCTCTCGTCGCCAAGTACAAATATGCGTAGGAACTAAAAGTCTGAGCTTGACTTAGGTAAGCAATTATCGGGGCTTGATCATCCAAGAGAATGAAATGCTACGCAGTATGTAAACAATTGAGCTTTTGTTATAAATGCTTACAAAATATCATAATAAACTATTTCTTTTGAAAGGCTAATACCGATGGCGAGGAATGCATGCTCGACATCATCGACACGGCCAGTCGACAGTAATAGGCCCGATAGGCGCAAATCTTTGTCCTCTTTTTCCATTCAACTATGGCCAGTTCCACCAAGGTTTGGATAAGTATACGTCAACCACTCGCCTTTTCGCTACGATAACATATCACAAGACATAATCGCAAGCCATGTTATAATACTATCATTTTGTTCTATTTTATTCTTTTCTTTGGAAACGGACTTTGTTCGATAAGTTTGGCTCTGCAAGGACCATTGCCGTCCCGCTGGGTTCTTTCGGCCTTGAGAACGTAGGTAGGACCGGTAGATATACCACAGACCAATGTTTCTCGAGTACATAATATTACAGACACCGTTCAAACGATACATTTTAATGTGATCCAAAATGTTCCCTGCATTTCTTGCTGTCGTGTTCCACCTGCGTCATAGTATGACATCAACTTGAGCACATAGGGCCGAACCGACCAACTTCCAGCTTCTATAAATCGTTCACCCAACTCACATTCTAGCATCGAAAGAACACACAATTACAAGTAACCAGTAAATCTAATTCGCAAACATGCAATCTATGCTGAAGCCGGTAATTGGCCCTAAAAAGGAGGTTCACGACCTCTCCGGTCGAGTCGCTCTGATAACCGGAGGGGCGTTGGGTATCGGGTTAGTCTAGCACTCACCTATTACAAAATTTTCAATCCATTAAAGTGGCTGATAAGATCATCAGTTATGAGGTCGCTCGTGCATTCGTGCTCAATGGAGCGCGAGTGATTATGGTGAATCGGAAAGAAGAACAAGGCCAAGCAGCCATCGACAAGATCAAGGAGGAAGCCGGCCAGGACGCAAAGATCGAATGGGTACCATGCGACATGGGAAACCTAGCGCAGATCAAGGAAGTATTCACCGGTATCTGTGAGCGGGAGGAGCGGCTGGACTTAGTATGTTCCGCTTGATACGCTACCGATCTTATGTGCTAATGCCTTCATATAGCTCATCTTGTCGGCTGGAATCAACGCAAACCAATATGGCGAAACTCATGATAAGATTGACCGCCACTTCCAAGTGAACTGGCTGGGGCAATTCTACGTCTGCAACTTACTCTTCCCACTAATTCGAAAGACATCCAAATTGCCGGATACGCCTGCTCCTCGCATTGTCTGGGAGACTTCCGAGCAGCACCGTGCTGCCCCGAAGGTGGTCCATTTTGGATCTCTGGACGAGATCAATAACCCTGAGATTGACAACACTGAATTATACGGGAGGTCGAAATTGGCCATCATCCTTGGTGTTAAGTATGGGTTTTTGGATCGGGTGATTAAGCCCAATGAAGATAACATATATGTCCTTTCGGTTCATCCTGGTGCGGTGAGTTTTCTTCCTCCAACGGGTACATGATATTACACGTTCTAGGTAGCTAATCATGGGGTTTCGTAGGTCAACACAACCATGCAGCAACAGTGGAAGGACGCATATCCTGGACTCCTGGGGAAGGTGATCACGACGGCGATGCTGGCTATCGGTCGCGATGTGGAACAGGGTGCCTTTAGTGCGCTTTGGGCGGCAACCAGTCCGGAGATCGAGGAGAAGAGTTGGAACGGCTACTATTTCTCCGATTCGGCGCAGCCTGGGAAGGAAACGAGTCAGGCTTCCGATCCTACCTTGGGAGCGTCTCTCTGGGATCTGAGCCATCGGATCATCCAGGATAAGGTCGGCAAGGATGCGATGGCAGATTGGAATTCGGGCAAGTCTTGAATTGGTTTTGGATAATGAAGGGTGCATATTTGTGTATTGTTCGCAGAAATTGCCGCATGAATCTGACATGATATGTTTATTCATATACAGATCGTAGATCTTCTACAATTTGCCAATTCTGTAATATCTGTACAGAGCCACTGTGGCTATTCAACAATTCTCACAAGGTCAGGAGTATATCACGACTGGGACTGTGGTCTAATGCCATGACTATAGCGATAAGTTCAGTTTGGGTCCAATTCTCTTAACCTATCATGGATTTTAGGTTCTTGGCTCTAATCCCTAATCCATAATCTATATAGATAGCCCATTGGATACTATCTATTTATATATAAGCAAGAAAAATAGCCCTATGTCTCACGATGGTACAAATTATATTACATAAACAATACAATAGTGACTCAAAAGTATTGCAACACCTTGGCGCAACGCGCCCCCCGTCAAAATCGAACTTCAACTTCAACCACCTACCATACAGCCAGAATGAACGAAGTTAGTTCAAATACAAGGCCTAGATTCGAGCTTTCTCCTGAACAACGCGCCGTTTTACTATGAGGCCTAAGATTTTCTTCTTCTTTTGTTTCATAAAAATCTCAAATAATTTGTTCTGGTGTTAAAAAGTTGATACATGTCTCTAAAAAATTTGATACAAACCAGAAACCCATTATAAATCCCTCAATATAGCCAAATCCATCTGACACAAACAAGACCTCCTTTCTAGAAAAAGGGAAGAAAAGGGACTTCACTGGTAAAACAGGCCAAGACACTGATCTCAAACACCTCCGACTCGGTTTTCTGTCCGATCAGGCTAACCTCCCCACCAAGATATCGCCAACGACAAAGAGAAAGAGAAAGAGAAGGAAGGAAGGAAGAAAGAAAGAAAGAAAGAAAGAAAAGAACCCACCTCCAAATGTCCCCCATCTCCAAACCAAGCTTCTGTCAAGACGAATCTAAGCCAGCATCGACCTTCCCAGACAGGCAAAACTAGGGCAGACTAAAGGCGGGCGAATCCGCTCTATCGGCGATTGCACCATTGAGAATGCATTCTTATCCGAGGTCCTGCATTTCCAAAGCGGAGAAGAATGCGGAGTCCATTCGATCAATCAATTGACTGGCAGTGATAACGTTGCCATGCAATGCCAATTGGAGACGGAAATGGCGACAGTGTGAAGATAAGAATATATATCTTAAAGTGCCCCATTTTTTCAATTCAATTCTCTTCTAGTTTTCTTCACCTTGGTACATACACATCACCCAACACAATTATATACTGATGTATACCATTGTCTAAAGACAGAGAAGAGAATACATGGAATAAACCTCCAAAATGCACCCCAAAACCCTTCATTTGATAGGTCTCCTATCACCCACAGTAACATCCCTCAGCATCCCAATTCCTTTCCTGCCCTCCCAGCAAGTCTTCAATCCTATTCCCTGGTCGGACAATGATATCTGCCCACTAGCTCCTAAGGTCTCCCCTGCGGAAGATGGTCTCCTCCCAGCCCTCAGATTCGTCGAAGACGAATCCATCCGGGCCCGTCAGGCGAATCGACTCTCCAGAGCCGTGCAAGTCCCCACCACGGTGACGGATTACTTGAAAGACCCATATGACGAGGGATTCGCACCGTTCGTCGAGTTCCAGGATCTTTTGAAGAAGCTTTTCCCTCTTGTGTATGTCCGTATCTTATCTTACTACACACTACCCCAACCAAACTAATCAAGAGAACCCCAAAAATAAAGCCACAAAAAAGCAACCCTCTCCCACATCAACCGCCTCGGCCTGGTCTACACCCTCTCCGGCAAAGACACAACCCTAAAACCCCTCCTCTTCACCGCCCACCAAGACGTCGTCCCCATCAACGACGCAAGCGACTGGACACACCCCCCATTCGAGGGCTACTACGACGGCACCTGGCTCTGGGGCCGCGGAGCCAGCGACTGCAAGAACGTGCTGATCGGATTACTCTCCGTAGTCGAGGATCTGTTGAGTCAGGACTGGACCCCGAATCGGACGGTGTTGCTGGCATTTGGATTCGATGAGGAGTCGCATGGGTTCCTGGGTGCGGGGTCTATTGCGGAGTATTTGGAGGGGATTTATGGGAAGGATGGGGTGGAGTTTGTGCTTGATGAGGGGGGGATGGGATTGGAGACTCTTGCTTCTTCTTTTGCTTCTTCTGAAGATCAAGATGGTGGACGTGAGAGTGAAGATGACGGAATAATCTACGCCCTACCAGGCGTATCCGAAAAAGGCAGCGTAGACCTCGTCTTCACGCTCTCCGTACCAGGAGGCCACAGTTCAGTTCCACCAGCACACACGGGGATCGGGATTCTCTCGGAGATAATCTATACCCTGGAGAACAACGAACTATTCACCCCCCGTCTGGACAACTCTCACCCTTCGCGCAAGAAACTCGAATGTCAGGTCCAGCACTCCCCCTCCAGCGTCGAGCCCTGGCTTGCCTCCGCGCTCCAGTCAAACGACCACGTCTCCACAGCCGAGAAACTAGCCCGCTCACGCGGCGACAAATTCCGATACATCTTGCAAACCTCGCAAGCAGCCGACCTCTTCCACGGTGGGGTGAAGACCAACGCGTTACCGGAGCATATTGAAGCAATAGTGAATTACCGGGTTGCGTTGCATCAGACGCCGGAAGAAGTCAAGGATCGGGCGGTCCGGATTGTGTCGCCGATTGTGGAGAAGTTTAATTTGACGTTGGCGGCGTTCCCAGAAAATAAAGAGGAAGAAGAAGGGAAGGAGAACCACTTGACGATATCAACGTTGAGCGGGTCTTTGTCGCCGGCGCCTGTGAGTCCGACAGGGACGGGGACTGATGCGGTTTGGACACGGTTTTCTGGGGTGACGAGATCGGTGTTTGAGTCGGTGCCCAGTTTGAAGGGAAAGACGGTGGTTGTGAGTGGCGATATCATGACGGGCAATACTGATACGAGGTTTTATTGGAACTTGTCCAGGAATATTTATCGGTGGAGTCCGTCCCGGGTTGGGGGTGCGTTGAATATTCATACCGTCGATGAGAGGGTGGCTATCGATGTGCATTTGGAGGCTATGGCTTTGTATTATGGTATGTCCTTTTTTGTCCCCTTTCTCTCTTCTTCATTGGAGGGTGTGCGAAGAGTATGATTGCTGACGTGAGCAGACCTTATTCGTGCTTTTGATACGTGGGATGGTTCGGTCGAGTCCACTTACGATCTGCGATAGATGGCCATAGCCACTGGTATAAGCAGATTTAGATCCGTAAATGACCTGGATATATGCCTAGATAGAAGCAGCTTTGCAGCCCAGAGAGTTCCCTTGATGAAACATCTGTTATCTACACCTCTACTGTTTATTTGTCCCAAATACAGTAACACTGTTGTATTTGCAGACACATAAGAATGCTATATATGCAATGCGCTATCCACAACGGTCACAATCTGGTCCAACGGCCATGGTAACAATAAAATTAATAACAAAGTAAGCGAGCGTCCCCCCCCTGCGCCCAGAAGCGAATATAAGCAAAGAGACTGAATCCCTCCTAGTCGAGAATTAACAATGCAAAGGCGCCACCCATGACGGGCCGCGCAATGAACGTAATGCCCGCCGGATAACTAGATTGGTTAGCAAAGCCCACGTAGCCCGTCTGCAAACACTTACTTTCCAGTTTGGGTATCATAAAGATCCGTAAAGGCACGGTTGGTCGGGGTCTCGTTGATCCAGGTCGCAAGCGACTTGTGGAACGTGTCTCGGACGCTCTCAGACGCAACCGCGGCTGTGAAAAGCTCCCAATCCGCTGAGGGCGAGTCAATATTCAATGCTAAAACATCAAGAGGGACATCGAGCTTACCCTTAGTATACACATGCCGAGTATCAAGCGGCACTCCATACTTCTCCGTTACAGTCGGATAGAAGGTGCTCTGCATGTCATAGACCGACTGAGGAACCAAGTTTAAACCCAATTCACGATCCGCGTATAGATTGTATAGAAGCCCTGGAGAAAGTTAGTACTGTAAGTGCACCATGAGCAGCGAACTGACCATGAGTCTCGTTAGCCCCGTACGACAGTGTCGTGTGTGGAGGATTAGCATTGTGAGCCACGCCTAGTGTCTGCCACCTTGTGATGTAGTCCTTGGCTATGCCGGAGTGGTTAGACGCATCGTCCGTGTGTCCAGTCGTATTGCTAATCACAGCCATTGCCTGGATTCCAATGATTCCCTTCAATGCCAGATTGGTCTGGTTTCTGTACATTCGATTAGTATCGACGCCGATCTCGCGTATGGATATCACTTACGCTAGCGGGCCAGCAAAGTCATCCGTAGAGATCTGATTCGCGGGATAGATAGAATCCTCCACGAGGTATGTCGTCCATTTGTTGAGGATGGGATAGTGCTGTGAGAGATAGTCGTTGTCTTTAGCCTTCTGGGCGTATGCGAGCGCCATGATAACCATGTTTCCACACTCCTCCAGTGGCATTTTCTCGTCGTTGCCGTCTGGATGACCGGTGGCATTCGGATAGTGGGTTCCAATATCGTGCATCGCGTATGTGTTCGGATACTTTCCGTTTTCTTGAATCTCATAGATTGGCTTCAAAATCAGTTTGAGGAGCTCGGGGTTTGTGTACAAAAAGATCGGGTGAGCGGGGAAGATGACGTCCACGGTGTTCATGTTGCCATTGGAGGAGATCTCCTTCATGAAGATGTAGGGGTCCTCGGGCGTCCCACACAATTGCACTGCCGCAAAGACTTGACGAACCGTAAGGGAGGTGATCGTCAGGTAGTCTTGGCCAGCGGCTTCAATGGAATCCTTGGATATCTGGTCATCGAGATCCTTCGATAGTGCAGCCGCAGCAGCATAATCATGATGGAAGAATTCAAGCTACGGGGATTGTCAGATTATGTTCTCGGTCAGAAATACAGCAGTAAATCCACTCACCGCGGCAGTCGCAGTGCTGAAGTAGCTCTTCCAGAGTGAAGGCATCACAGTTGTTCCTTCAGGTTTACCACTGTACTGGATGGCACTGTCCTGCGCAAGGCCAATGGAGAATAACGTGCCAGCGGATGTCTTCACCGAGCCAAGGTCGCGGGAGAAGGCAAACACCGGCCAATCCGTCGAAATTGCACGATAATTTTTATCGTCCGAATTGGCCAACTTT